GCCACGGGGACTGCAGCAGGAACAGGCAGCATCTGCATTGCCAAGAGCAGTTGAATAGCTGTGCCTTGCTCCTGGGGAGGCAGCAGGTCCCAGGTCTTGCTGAGCTCCTGCGGGCATGTGAGCCACTGCCTTCAGTCTCTTTGCTGCTCTGCAAGATGCTGGCTCCAGGCTCTCCCTGAGTTTTGAGCGATGCCCCTGTTTTCCCTTCTCTCCTCTGCTTAAAGCCCTGGAAACACACCATGTTGCTGTTATATAAAAAGCACATTCAGATCTTGAGGCACTGTCACACTTGTACACTGACTTCTATTGTTATCAGATGAACTGAGAGGTCAGTGATGGGGGAGAAGGGAATAGAAAATTTAGCTAGACTCACAATAGAAATCATGCTATCTCTTTGGCAATAGATACACAGCTGAGCAGCATCAGTGGGATTAGAAAACAATGAAATGAGGCCCTAGCCTCAACATTCAGATGGCATCTGAACTTTCCAAAGTCCAGGAGTGTTTATATCCTTGGCAGGAGGTTCAAGGTCAGCTCTTCGCCGACAGTTCCTTCACCAATAAGACTTGGAAACTTTTAATGGATCCTAAAAAATAACTTCCAAGTGGATCTCAAAGGTAAGGCCAAAGCACTCACTGTTTCTTTAACAAATCATTTTTCCTTCTTCCTTACTGCAGGTCCAACAGTTTCACATTGCAGGACCCACACCAATAACATGTGCAGACAAGCATGCTGGAAGCAAGGAATCCTCCTCTGGAGCACAAATGTTGCTTATGCCATATGATGTAAGAAATGGAGGTATCTACTAACAGGCAGCATTCTTGGAATGGTTAAATCAGCCCAGGCATGTGAATATAGGTGGATTTATGCAAGGTGAAGCAGAAAAATGGAAGACAAACTCTGGCTGTTAAATCAGTTTTTGGTGGAGGGGGAGGCTGGTAGTAAGGATGCTTAGTTCCTTAAACATCCTTAGGGATGACCTGCTAATCCCATTTAGCCACACCTATTGTTTATTGCTCAGTAACTGCTTTTGCTTTTACAAGCACTGTGAACTAGAATCCTGAAATGTGCTATCACTGAAATCACTGGATTACTGGGGCCACTTAAACCAATGCTATATAAATCTGCAGTTCAAAATAAGCATTAAGAGCTACTGGTTAAAGACCAGAGCATTTCTGTGAGTATAGATTAGTTAAAATTTAGCATCTTAAAAGGTTTATTTTTAACTCGTTATTTCTCCTTGTATCCTGCATGGGCTATAATGTGTGTGCACTCCAAGTGACTCTTCAGTTTACAAACAGGAAAGAACCAAGTACAAATGCTTCCCTTTTACTGCAGCGATGCCTGTGCCATGACCTGCAGAGACCACCCTGTAGGGTAAAAGGGCAATGTGGTCTCCATGCCAATATATTTTAATCTGCTGCCTTTCTGTTTAGCCAGCCAACAGGAATGTTTGCTGGTGCCAACTCTGGTATTTGTGAAAAGCACATGTATCTACTAGAAGCTGGACTGCTTCCACGAGCCCAGTTCACGTGCCATCAGGCAGAACTGACTTTCAGTCACATTACTGACTAGACTGAACAAAAATCAAAGACCTAGAGGTGAATGGCTCTACTCCCACTACCAGTATTCTGAACTATTTAGTCTCCTTTACCCCATTTAAGCTTGTTTTGGATTCAAAGAGGCCTCCTGCTATTCTGCTGCATTTACTTAATGAAATTTATTATTTGTGATATTTCCTGTGGCATGTGATGAAGCAGAGGCAGAATCAAAATCAGAGGTTTTAAGCGTATTTTTATGTAATGCATTTATCCTCTGCAACAGTTACATCCTTTTACCCCAATAAATGAAATAGTCAAAGCCAAGAAGCTAGTTTTCAAATCATTCTATTCCATATGCTTTTAAGACAGCAAGTCATTCAACTTGGTCAGTTCTAAGGAATCTCTTTC